GTCGGTTTTGTTGTGTGTGTGTGTTTCTTTTTTTTTTTTTTTTTTGCCTCCGCTAAAATAAGGCTTTGGAACCCACACAAGAAGGAAGATAAAATTATGTTTTTAAAAAAAGGTATGGAATTTGATCCACACACACACACACTCGCGCGCACACATACATACACACACACACACACACACACACACACACTCACACACACAACATAGCATAGCAAGACAGACCGTTTTTAACAGACAATTGAGCTATAGGGATTTGGTATTCAACCAAGCATCAATATGTACTGTCAATGCTTGGCGAACCCCTGCAAGTGGCGCAATCTTCAATGCTGGCGAGGCTTCAGACTGCCGAGGGTGGCTATATTTTAACGGTAAAATCGATAGCGGGCCCCGCAACAACCGGACTCTTTAAAATAGCGTTCTGTGATTTAACGTGAAAATTCTCCCGCTAGGGAAAAAATTAAAGTGCTGAACCGGGTAAAAAGGGGAAAGGGGCCAAATTTAAAATATGATAATTGTACTCGGGAACTTATAGTTTAGGACTTTCCTTTTTTAAGGGGAGAAAAAAGAAAAGCCAACTCTTTATGACAGTCGAGAAATGAAAAATTTGGGGGTGCTGCATACTCATACATACTACAACATCATACAACCAACTACATACAACACATACATACATCATACATACTACATACAGACATACATACGACATACATACATACATACATACATACATACATACATCATACATACATACATCATACATACTCCATACATACATACATACTACATACAGACATACATACATACTACATAGAAAAACTACATACAACATACTTAATACATACATACTACATACATACATACATACATCTACATCATACATCATACCTACATTACATTACATAAATACACAAAAAAAAAAAAAAAATACATACCATCATACATACATACATCATACATACATACATACAATACATCATACATACATACATACATTACATACCATACTATACATACGTACAGGACATACATGACGATATTACATACAGACAGACAGACCATAGCAGACAGAAAGACGAAACACACATACATACATACAAACATACATCACATAGTATACAGTACATACATACATAACAACATAAAACATACATACATACATACATACATACATACCATACATACATACATACAGAATTACATACACACCACACATACCACACATACATACATAACATCCAACACATACCTACATACATACATACATACAGCACATATCATACATACCATACATAAACCATACATACATATCATACATACATACATACATTCATGACAGACAGTAACATACTACATACATACATACATACATACATACATACATTACAGACATACATAGCATACATACATACATACATACATACATACATACATACATACACTACATACTACTACATACATTACATACATACATACATAGCATACATACATACATACCTACATACATACATTTACATACATAAATACCATACATACATCACATGTATATGATACCTTATCAGACATACATACATACATTACATACATACATACATACAGTACAATCATACATACATACATAACATACATACATACATACATACAGAACAGACTATGAACATACCTACATTACATACATATACATACATACATACATACATACATAACAATACATACATACATACATACATAAGCATACATACATACATACGTACAGTACATAACAGACATACATACATACATACATACGTACATACCTAAATACATACATACATCATCCATGAACATACATACATTCATAAATTACATACGTACA